GTTTAGACACAAATGTACCTCTTAGTTTACGCAGTCCAGTCTCTTAGTTAGACTTGCTTAGCTTTGATAGTGTAGCCTAGTCCTCAAAGCCTAGTATAAGCTTTTAGCCTATCGCAGTCTCAGCAACACTGTTGTCCTCTATTACCGTACTTGTAGCGCATGTAGGATGCATGTCTTATTAATGAACTTCTAATACTATTATAGGAATTAATAAGTTTTTATGACTGGTTTATCGTGGAGAAGTCTGCTTCCGAGTAGACAGATGATGCTCTGTAAACTCTGAACAAAACTAGATACTGTAGATAGTCAAGGCAGGGCTCGACAAACTACGATCCCGATTTCGCGCCCGCATATGTTCTAACAAGACGCAATTAAAGGCTGATAGCTGAGATGCTTGACTGGCTACCGCAAGCACGATATGACTCGTGCATTATTTACAAATGCCCTGTTACTATCCAAACGGTAATCACTTTACTTCACACAGATTTGGAGTGCCTACTGGGTGCGACTTCCTAAAAAGCACACACCGGCCGTACTAAAGTATACTAATTAATGGCCTTAGTAAGCATGCTTACTAGATTTAGCATTTTAGCATAGGCATGTACTTCAAGCAGCAGTATCGTAGTCCGAACAGAGTACAAACGATTACAGCCTGATGGAGAGAGTTAAGAGGGTGGAAACCAAGGCAAGCTCTGCTGTGCTCAGGGCTCCAAACATGTACTTACTCGGAATTGTTGAAACCAAGATTCACAGCCCTAGCGTTGCTTAATCAGCGTCACCTCCGACAAATGGTAGCACCAGTGCTAGCATCATTACTACTTAACCGATGGTCATACAACACACTCCGGTGGACAGAAACAGACAGTTGAGTTATTATCAAGCGAATTGTCGACACCCAAAATGAACACTCTGCGTTGATTAACCCATACGAGCAATGAGGTCGGTGGGGTGACTGGTGGAATGACTAACTGTTGCGAGAACACGAACACAGATGTAACAATGACACTCACCGATACTCCAAGCTGGTAACAATGACAGAACACAAATTCCGCAGAATGCCACCGCTACTCTCCATGACTGCCAAGCCCTTACTCTGGTTTCCAACGTCCAGAGCATCCACAAGGAAGGCCAGAGCGCCGTCGACGCTAAAATAGTAGGAAGAGAAATATGACGTCGAGTGGAAGGCAGCATTTGCGTCAAGAGCATGGGAAAGAAG